GTGAAAAAGGAACCCTCATTCAGTGCTGGTGGGAATGTAAACTGGTACAGCCACTGTGGAAAACAGTATGGAGGCTCCTCAAAAAATTATGAATAGAGTTACCATATGACCCAACAACCCCACTTCTGGGTATCTACCTGGAAAATTAGAAATTTGTATTTTAAAGCTCTTTCAGATGCTAAAAAATCCATATTAACAAATCACCATAATTAAATAAATTCTTTATCCCTAAGAGTAATATTTCTATATAATGTAACTCAGGTTGAGGACTTAATTTAATTAAGCTACCCATATCAATGATGTTGAACAAGTAGGTAAATAGTTATTGAAATAGCATGTGGGTGATGAAACATTTGGAAGTGAGTGTGATGGAAAACTGCTATCCAAGGCAATTTGGGGTTTCAATTCAAAAATCTAAAATTCTAATATTTAGAGAAAAAACATTAATTTAAATAAGTATGATGTCACTAATCTATACAAAGCCCTTCCAAATAAAAAATGTGTGTTGGCAAGGTGCTGACATTCTCCAGTGTATTCCCCCCCAATTTAACTTTTGTTCAAATGGCTACATTGAAGAGACGGAAAAGATTTGGTGGGGCAGATGCTGGATTTATAGCTCAAACTGTAGTTCCTTTGAGATTATAGAAACAACCTTAAGTTTCAGGAAAATGATTGGGGCTTTGTATTCTTCTGCCGTACAATTTTATTTGAAACCCTGGATGCAGGCTGAGTTTTCGAGAAGTAGCTGTGATATAGACCTACTGTATTTTAAGACATCAGGCTTCTTTATTTTATCTTTCTTGGAAACAAATTAATAAGTTTCTCAAACAAGTGAAAAATGTGCCTAAAACACAACAGCAAATGCTAATAAACACAGTTGAAAAAAGTATGAGTGTATTAAATGTAGACCTTGTCCATAATTTCAGGGGAATAATTATCTAATCTAATAAAAAAGAAGCATGCAAATTGACCGTAACTTCACTTCATTCACAAGCCACGCTCACCAGCCAATCAGAGCAACTATATGCAAATTAACCCAACCAAGATGGCGGCCGGCAGCCACGGAGCTGGAGCAAGCAGGAGGCTTGGTTGCCCTGGCAATGGAGGAAGCCAAGCTTCCTGCCTGCCCTGGCCAGCTGTGGCCTCCGCTAAAGGCAACAAAGTTTCAATTATAGAAGATAAATAAATCCCAGATACCTGCTTCCAGCCAGCCTCCACTGGGAGCTTGGGTGGCTGGGGGCCGGGGCCAGCCTGCAAACAGCCATCAGCCCCTCACCCAGGCTGGCCAGACACCCCAGGGGACCCCCCACCCTGAAGGGGCCGTGGCCAGCTTGCAAACAGTCACCAGCTCCTCACCCAGGCTGGCCACACCCTCATGGGGTGAGGGTCCCTGCTGGGGTCTTGGCCAGCCTGCAAACAGCCATCAGCCCCTCACCAGGCTGGCAAGACACCCCAGGGGGACCCCCACCCTGAAGGGGCTGTGGCCAGCCTGCAAACAGTCATCAGCCACTCACCCAGGCTGGCCAGGCACCCCAGCAGGACCCCCCCTCCCTGAAGGGGGTGTGGCCAACCTGAAAATGGCCCTCAGCTCCTCACCCAGGCTGGCGAGGCACTCCAGCAGGGACCCCCCACCCTGAAGGGGTTGTGGCCAGTCTGAAAACGGCCCTCAGCCACTCACCCAGGCTGGCCAGGCACCCCAGCGGGACCCCTAGCCTGATCCGGAACACCCTTCAGGGCAAACCAGCCAGTCCCCACCCATGCACCAGGCATATAATAAAAGGGTAATATGCAAATTGACCCTAACAGCAGAATGACTGGGAATGACTGGTCACTATGACACACACTGACCACCAGGGGGCAGAGACTCAATGCAGGAGCTGCCCCCTGGTGGTCAGTGCGCTCCCACAGGGGGAGCTCTGCTCAGCCACAAGCCAGGCTGACGGCTGCCAGCACAGCAGTGATGGCGGGAACCTCTCCTGCCTCCTCAGCAGCGCTAAGGATATCGGACTGCAGCTTAGGCCTGGTCCCTGCTGGCAAGTGGACATCCCCTGAGGGCTCCTGGGCTGCCAGAGGGATGTCTGACTGCCAGCTTAGGCCCGCTCCCCCAGGGAGCGGGCCTAAGCCAGCAGGTGGACATCCCCCGAGGGGTCCCAGACTGCGAGAGAGCACAGGCCGGGCTGAGGGACCCCCCCCCGAATGCACAAATTTTTGTGCACCGGGCCTCTAGTAAGGAAATTAATAAGTAATAATACAAGAGTAAACAGTTTCACCTACTCACAGCTGTAAACCTATTTTTGCTTGCCCCTGAATTTGAGAAAGCCTTTCTGGGACACCCCAATCTTAAACAGGAAGTGGAGAAAGATGCCCTTACTGACTATCAAAAATGGGATTCACTAACTGAGTGAATGCCAATGTTTTATGTGCTACTCAACCTTATTTATTTATTTTTAATCCTCACCTGAGTATATGGAGAGAGAGCGAGAGAGAGAGAGATATGAAAGAGAACCATCCATTGGTTGCCTTCCATACACGCCCAACTGGGGATTGAACCTGAAACCTGGGTATGTGCCCTGATGAGGAATCAAACCCACAACCTTTTGGCATATGGGATGATGCTCCAACCGGCTGAGCCACTTGGCCAGGGCAACCAGATTTTACTTTTAAAGGAACACATATGGCTCTTCTGGTCTGGGGACTTCGCCTAAAAGAACATAAATTAGAAATCTGTCAGCAATTGTCCACAGATTCATATTTCAAGTCCTCAAGCAGATACTGCATTAGCCAGAATTAGAATTCCTTGAGGTTATGTTAGGGGCCTTCTATTTGGAAGTAATTGGTTGCTATAGCAGAAGGGAGCACAGCTTTGCATTGTCATAGGATTTTTAACAATTTGATTGATTGGATTGTTAAAAAGCATAAGTTTTATTATATCCTACTATATCTCTGGCATCAGCTGTGGTTACACGCAAGGTTGGAAATAGTAACTAGTTATCTGTCAGTTAACTTTTCAGATCAGAGCTTTTTGTGATTTTTTTAGCCTTCAGCTGGGCTGCTGCTGAAACCCCAGGGCGGTTGGATTCCCTTTGATTCCTTACCTAAATGATGGTGGTTTTAAATTAATAAAAAGGACTATACAGACCCATGATGACACTCGAGATGTTTCTCCTGGTGGAAAATTTGGGGGAACAATTAGGAACAGTATGCTGGTCTTTTTATGTTAACAGCTTTGCTACGATATAGTTGGTATACTATAACGTTCACCCTGATCATTTTTTAAGTAGAGGGGAAATATTGATGTCTCACTATAAGCTACTTCCTTCTATTTTAAAGCATAATTAAAAGTATATACTTTCACTAGTAAGATTACCTTTTTGGTAATAGTAAGATGATCTTTAGCATTTCTGAATCTTAAGCGAGCAAGACTTGAGTGAACTGGGAAGAGTATTATGGTTCCCTGTGTTGGAGAAATAGAATTCTCATGGGTTACACAAATGCTTAAACATGCTGGCCAGTGTCAGTGTTGGGAAATACTAAAACATTCCATTGAGGTGTAAGCAATAATCAGGTTTAAAATAATTACTAGGAAAAACATCTTTTGGGGTATAGGTGGGGTAGAACCTGATAAGAATTGTCCTGCTTTCATGATGAATCTTTGTTTTTTTTTCTGTTTAGAGCTGATACACTATTTAAACTTTTTTTTGTGTGTGTCGAGTATAGCATATGTACAGAAGAGGTTGTGAAACCCAAGAACAGCATAACAAGTAGGATGAAGCCAAGCACCCATGTACTACTTCGGTCAGGAAATAGAACATTGCTAACCTCTCAAGGAATACTTCATATTTCCCTTCCCCCACCTCAGTCCTCCAGCTAGTCATCTATCTCTCACTCCCTCTTTCCCTCCCTCTCTCTCTCCTTCCCTCTCTCTCTCTTAAACACACACGCGCACACACGCACAGGGACATAAATAAAACCATTAAAGATTATTTAATTTTGCCTGTTTTGTGTAAATCTGTAGTAAATGAAATCACGTGTTCTTTTCGTCTTAACATCAGCTTTATAGGACCCATCTATGTAGGAGCATGCAATGCATGCTGTGTAGTTTATACATTTTCATTGTGATAGTTGGTTGAATGAACATAGTATAGGTATTTATCCATCCATTTTATAGTTTGTGGGCATTTGGGTTCTACCCAGTTTATTACTACTGCTTATTATGCTACTTTGGACTTTATAGTCTATAAAATCCAATACACATGGGCATGAGTTCCTCGAAGTGTAGTCCCTCCATCCACAGCATCAGCATAAAACTTGTTAGAATGCAGATTCTGGGGCCCCACATCAGGTCTATATTCAAATAGCGTGTATATATACTAGTAAAATATGCTTATTTCAATGATTGTGGTTTTGCTTAAACTATTTTTGGGTCTTCTAGTTTAGGCTGCCTTGGGAGCCCATTAACGATCACACCCATGGGTATACATACACGCAAATACACGCTCACTCCAGCCTCTTAGGAATAGACTCTTTACTCATTTTTGAAACAGAGAAGTTTTATCGAGTTTGAGTCAAATTTTTGTTGTTTTTTCCCCCAAAGAATTAATACTCAAAAAAGATTTGCTAACATTAAAGATTTCAAAAGAATATGCAGTAGACTGAGGACCTGCTAGAAGAGGATGTGGTTACAGGTTGGGCAAAACATTATTCCTGGAATGAGAGCTGCAGAGAAAGCAGGAGAGACTAGAGGAGGGTAGTGTGGCTTCAGATCCATTTGCACCACTGACAGCTGTGTTACCTTCGGGAAGGGCTGGGTTGCTCTGAGCTTCCGTTTTCTCCTTTGCAGAGAGGACAACATCATTAGAATATAGTGATGATTTGCAGGGCCACGTCTGTTCTGTGGGTGCCTTTCAGCCTTGGATCAGCATCTGAATCTGTTGGAACATGGCTGGTTGTCATGCCTTCATACATGCGATATTTTTACTTTATTTTTGTGCTTCCTGCAGGAACGGTTCCAGGTGAAGAACCCTCCCCACACATACATTCAGAAGCTCAAAGGCTATCTGGATCCAGCTGTAACCAGGAAGGTAAGAGGGATTTATTTCCACTCTTTGTTACCGCTTCCCCATGAGCAAGCAGAGTCCTCTGCACTGGGGAGACCTTCCTTCCTCCGCACTGTAGCCCGTGCCAGGGCCTCCAGGAAAACAGTCTAGAGACGAACATGAGAAGACAAAGGGAGAAGCTGTCCTTCTCACTTGAGGGTGTGTTTAAGAGTGCCTTCCTGAGAAGGGAGGCCCTTCCCTCTGATGGCCACTGAGGCACTGCCATGTGCAATTACACAGGCGGCGAGTGCGGTGCAGAGGTGTGGGGGCCCCAGGAAAGCAGGCCCAGCAGCGGCCGACTTGTCTTTCATGTCTGGGTGCATGTCCAGAGACCTTGAAAAATCACTGGGCTTTGTCATCCCAGCTGTGCTCTCACATCCTGTGTTGATGCTTTTAGCAGCTTCCCCGCCCCAGCCCTGCCCCTGGCCCCAAGAAGGTGAGGAGAGAATAAGCTGACTCCATTCTCGACAGACGCTCCCTTTTTACAAACAAGCCCTGCTTTGTGCAGCCACACAATTGGTTTACACTGATGCCTCGTGGTCAGACATGCAGCCTGGCACAGCCCTGCAGGCCTGGGATGTCTCGGGGCAGAGCTGTCCCTGCTAAGATGGGTAAAGGGCTCTTCTGCAGCCAGTGCTTGTTTTCCAGTTGACCTACCGCAACTCCTGCTTTCAAGGCTGCAAGGAAAATATCACCCCCCGCCACCCCTTTTCAAAAAAAAAAAAAAAAGCTAAGCAAAGGAAAACAGCTATTATTTCCTCTTGGAAGTTCATGGTTAACATGCAGGCAAGCGGAAATCACATCTCGACATGATGATGAAATGGATGTAGACCTGTGCTGTCGGCTAGACGCCATATGGACTTCAATGACACAGCCTCGTCTTCTGAGAATGTACCTGTCAAAGTCTCATAGCTTCCCGCCCCCCGCTCCCAAATATGGCGCACACATGTTTGTTTTTCTAAAGAGCTTCTGTCAGGCTCCCTCAATGAGACAGCTGCTTAATTCTTTGTTTCATTCTTGTTCGTCTCCTCCCCCAAGGATGGAGCAGCCTCAGCCATCAGATTAGAGGGGGCTAAGTGAAGGCACACCCATACGCACAGAACAAAAGCAGAAGGCCCCAGGTGGTTTTCTGGGCCATTTCTCTGCACAGGGGCAGCAAGCTTCCCCTTTAGAAACATTTTCGGGTATCCCCAGGCTTACACACCTTCAGGCTGGATGCTCAGGCGTTAGGCACACTCACCCCGAGCTGAGCATTGCAGAAATGCCGATGTCTGTCCGCAAGACTGAGCGCTTCCCTCACACAGAGTATGTCCCATCCCCAAACAATTATCACAACATTTGTCAGATTCTGAAAAGAAAGGAGAAAATACGTGAACTCCCAGAGAGCTTCTTAGACTCCAGCCCCAAACCCCACAGGGAGGAAGGTGCTGGGAGGGGACAGGGGGTTCCCCCTGGCATGTCCCAGCTCTCCTTTGGAACAATTACTTCTGGGTTGAGGCAACGAAATAAGACAAAAAATAATAATAACTAATAAGCTGCTCAGAAAGTGTTTTTACTCCCTCACAAATAATGATAAAGAGGCCCAAGACGATCGATGTCTGTTTGGCCGACCTCAGTCTCTGCCCCAGGCCCTGTGTCCACCTGAATGGCCTTGTTTGGTCTGTGCCTCATCTTTCACCATCAGTCCCTGGGGGCAGAAAAAAAATAAAATGGATGTTGGATCCACCATCCCTGCTGCTCCGATTTCTGTCGGGAGCTGGCAGGAGGAAACGATCTGTTCCACTCAACGTAATTGTCATGCTTACAGCCTGGAGAAAAGGAGATTTTGTTTGGAATAAGGCATGGCTTGCAGTTAAAATGTGTTTAAAGTTCTCAATTGTAATATGGGAGGGGGAAACAAAAAGATTTCAAATCAGGGCCAGATAGATAGTCTAGGCCCAGCCGTCTTCCCTTAACTGCATTTGGAGTCCTCGGGTACTTCGTTCATTAAGCTTTTGTTCATCTGGAACACAAGGTACTCCATGTGCTGTCTTCTGAAAAAAATTCTGAAATATATTCTACTTAGATTTTCTTCTAAATAGTTTTAAACCCTCCAGGGCAGGAAAGGAAGAGCCTAAATTAGATATCTCTGGGATCAGAACTCTCCAAACCAGCCTCCTCATTTCATACCAGCTAGTGCTTAGTCCATGCTTTGGAGGTGGGAGGGGTTGCTTGCATCTGGCATGGGAGAGGCCACAGACCAGGAAGAAGGGAGTCTGGTCCTCTGTGATGGTGATATCTGTTGCCTCTGTCTCCAGGACTCAGCTGCCTCTGTGAGCCCATCCCCATGCTGCGCCTTCCTCTTAGGGAGAGGCCAAGTCAGGGGTGAAGACTACGAGTGATGGTACCCTGCTCCTTTTAGCTGGTCCCCACGGGCACACGATTTCTCTTTTAAAGCATTCTGCATCCATAGTAGAAGTGCAGAGTGTTTGCACTCACTGTTTATGTGTTTAGTGAAGTGGGTGCCAAGTGTCTCTGTAGTCTAGAAGTCAGCTAAAAATCAAACAGTTCCCGAGAGAGTACAGTCCAAGGGCAAAGTCAATTTAGTTTCACCTCAGGTATTATGTAATTGCCAAAGTGTAGTGCCTACCGTAGTAAATGGCGAGTAAATGCTATCTGCTAGTGTCCTTCCCATTATCTGATAGTGTTGTTTTGATATATGCCACTTAGTCCTTCAGCAGGTTTTCTTTTGTACTCCATTATGTCCTCCTTGCTTCGCTGGGTGCCCTTGTGGCTGACGATGTCTGGAAGAGATGACCTTGACCCAAGGAAGCATGAGGCAAAGTTGGCCGGCAGAGGCCTCAGGAAACCAGTCAGAATGTGCCAAATGCATAGCCAGGAGCACTGCGTTGTCTTCTGAAGGCCACAGTGTAGGTAGCCCAAGACTTGTGACTCTGACATGGGGATGGCCCCTCGGGAGCAGCCAGCACACCCGGAAATGGTGCCCTCAGCTGCGTGGCCGTACGTAGACCCCCTCGTCAGCAGCCCTCAGTGCTGGAGAGCTCTGCAGGAAGCAGTCGGATGCCCCTCCAAACTGTAGATGCTGCTGCCATTTCTTAGGCCTTTCTTGATAAAAGAGGGGAGTGTCTTTCTTTCTTCATTGCATCGAGGATGCTTTTATTTAACATATCCTACTGTACCTACATTCTAAAAACCCAAGAAAGTCTTTGGGGTGCTTTAGGAATGGCAACCAGGGGGATCTTTGCTTCCTTAGTGCCCTGGTGAGAAGCAGTTGGAGAAGCAAAGGGCCTTCAGAAGAGAAGAGAGTGACAGGAGCCGCCCATACTGAGTAGGGTTCCGGGTCTTCACTGGGGCACCGGTTCCACCTGTGGCGTGGCCTGGCTCTCCCCACCCCCATCCTCCTGTCCAGACTTTCTCCTTTCCTTCCTGTCCTTGCACACCTTTGCCTTTGGAGCCGGATACCCCTATGTACCCTGCAATGATGGCAGTAGACAAGGCTTTCTAATGTCCTGAGCTAGAATCCTCAAAACCTTTTCCTGAGAACAGTGTAACATGACGGTGGTTTGGACCTACAGGACGGAAAGCAGAGGACTCTTCTTAATGGCTTGGCACATCAAATGTCCTTCCAGAGTGGCTCAAGACTTTAGTCATTGCAAATAAGTGCTTCTGTAGGAAATGGTGTTCCAAAGAACTGCTGTGCTGTGCAACCCAGTGAATCCTTGGAGGTTATATAGTGTTGAGAGGATAGAGAGGTGAGCACATTTACTATCAGAGGAGGATTGATGAAGAAGAAAGACATGAGGGAGTTCTGGAAGGATCGTTGGGGTTCTAGAGGCATAGGAATGAGGAAGGCCATTCCAAATGTAGAAGGGAGGTGCTTCAGAACAGGGACCTTCCACATGGGGGCTCGTGGGCAGAGACAACTATGTTTATTTTTGGAAATGTTAGGTCATGCAGAAAGGAGTTAACATAGCAAGCCTGAGACTGCTACCTTAAAAATACCTGCTTGCAAGGTTGGCTCCTGGTTGTCAACTGGGAACTTGAATTTTGGGAGAGTTCCCACCATTCCCTGATCAGAATACTCCCGGTGCCCAACTTGTTTAAGCCAACAATATGGTTTATGCCGAATGCCTCTTTTCCTTCTGGGAGGCTGGACTTAGGTATGTGCTAGGCAGAGAGTGCCCAAGTGACCCGAACAAACCCTGGGCACCGAGTCTCTCATGAGCTTCCCTGGTCGACAGCATTTCACGAATACTGTCACTTGTGACTCCTTTGGGAGAAGACTCTTGGAAGCTTGTATCTAGTTTCCTCCAGACTTCACCCCAGGTATCATTTCCCTTTGCTGATTGTGCCTGGTATCTTCCTGGTCTAATAAATCCTAGTCATAAGGACAACTGTATGCTGAGTCCTATGGAATCATTGAAACTGGGATGATCTTAGGGACCCCAACACATAAATATATTGGTGACTATTGTATTGCGGGGTAGGGGAAAATAATACACTTACTTAATGACACTTAGTACATGAAAATAAGTAATTTTTCCCAATCCTTTTGCATCAGCTGATTTTCATGATGAGAAAAATGTGTGTGCTTTGCAAAAAGAAATGTGAGAAAAGCCCACTTCAGAAGCAGAGCTATTTTCATATTGTGTTAAACTTATTACAAGTAAGCTACAGTTTTAGCAGTTGCTAAAATATGTTTTGTGAGAATATGTGTTTCTTGAATTATAGAAATTCAGACGGCGTGTTCAAGAATCCACACAAGTGCTGAGAGAACTGGAAATTTCTTTAAGAACCAACCATATTGGGTAAGTGTGCCCATTTAACATTTTAGCTCCAGGGCTTTTTTGGACACTTTACAAAGTGACTGTGTCATACCTGAAGAGTTAAGCTTCCTTACTGTTCATTATAGGCTAGGAGACAGAGGTTTAGGTGGGTGGAACCTGTATTGGTACTTGAGTTTCTCACAGTACAAGAATCAGTAGGAGCTGGACAGACAGTCCTTGATTTGGGATATTTATAACCGTTGTAAAATTCTTTGCTTGGATGTAGTAGTAAGTGCTTGGTCTCTTGTGTGTATAATAATTCTTTGGCAAATTAGGAACCCCCAACAAGTAATGCAAACAGATTCTGGAAGATCTCCGAACCTTCATGGGTGTTCTCCGAGCTGGTTGTTTGAAATTGCTCCGTTCTCCTTTCCTCACTTCCCACCTTTCTGGCCAGAAGGGGACAGAAGCTGGAGTGATGTCACCTGATACACTTCATTGTACACAGATACTTGGTTCTGAGTCTCTTCTTCCTACACCTCAAATTCTCAAATTTTTAAAACCAGGAAGTGTAAATCCACTCTAGAAAATAAAGTTTGAGGGATCTCGGCGCTAAGCATTTCTGAGTTTTCATGCAACAACATGGTTGCTTTGCCTCAAGCAAGTGCAACTTCATGGCATTCTCACATATTCCTGATGGCATAATTCTAGAGTACCTTAAAATAAGATGGTTTATCTGCAAGGCATATCCTATTTTATAGCCTGAGTTCTTCCTAAAATTTTTGTTTAGTTTCCAGCAAGTTATTTAAACCTCTAGGCTTTAAATAGTTGAGTTTTACAATAAGAAAATCTTTTAGGATTTTCCCCTTTGGCATTCTTTGCAGGTCTTTTGGAAATGAGGTTTTTACATATATATTATTTTATAGTTTTACAGAGTATTCTGTAAATTAATATATTACATAAGTAACAACTTCTACTTTAGACTATGTTTGATGTAAGCCATTCAAGTGGTTAATTTTCACAGTTATTTCAGAATAAGCTTTTGTTGTTGTTAATCCTCACCCAATGATATTTTTCCATTGATTTTTTTTTTTAGAGAGAGTAGAAGGGAGGGGGGGAGACAGAGAGAGAAACATCTATGTGAGAGAGACACATCTATTGGTTGCCTCCTGCACACGGGTCAAGCCTACAACTGAGGTATGCACCCTTACTAGAACCCTTCAGTCCCTGGTCTGAAGCTCAATCTACTTAGCCAAACTGGCTAGGGCAAAATAAGCTTTTTTAAATGGCAGAAATGCAGGGTTAAAATGTTCATTTCTTAAAGGATAACTCTGCATGTTGTTTCCTTGAAAATGAAATATTCAAAAAATGAACCAATTCTAACCTAAAGTTGAAAATCACCTTCATCCCATAAAATGGGCTATAGAGCAGTGGATCATAGAATCATGATTTAGAACTGGAAGAGAAATTAAGGATTACCTAGTTCCTCATTTTACAGATTAGAAGTTTTAAGGACCAGAGAAGGTGAGTGACTCCCACAAAATCTACAGCTGTAGAGCCAGGTGCTTTGGTTCAAAATGCCGTGTTCTTTTTCTTATGTTGCCTAATCTGGCAGCCCTTTCCCTGAAAGGAAATAGGATAATCAGAACTCTGGGATCAAAGCAATGAGGCTTGTCTATTGGGGGTGAAAGTGGTGGTAAGTTAATATAGTTGGGCATCCAAGCTTAGGAAATTTACATACTTTCCAATATTTGTGGATCAGGAGCTAGATTCCATTTGGTAAGGTCCAACCCTATACTGTTGGCACCACTTCTTGACTGAATGATCTGCAGCCAGGATGTCTACAAATTGTCAAAAAGCATTTCTTCGGGCATTGCTGGAATAATGTGAAATTGACCATCAAATACCAAAGCAAGATGATCATTTCCAATACAAAGTTGGCTGAATAGTAGAGCCCTGGTTGGGTTGAAGCCAGTGCAAATCTGCAAGCAATTGGAATGGTTTGTTGTTTAGGATGCTGTGGGGGTGTTGAAAGATTCTTACATTTCTTTCATCTTCTCCAGCTGAAGTTTTTTGTGTTTATCACCTATCTGAGGCACTCTGAAAGCTTTGGCTTTAGCAGCAGAAAAATGCATGGAGGTGCATTGTCTGTCTTTATGCAACCGATTACTGGCATAACCTTATACGGATGAAACCACACACCAGGATTTTGACCTGTCTTGCCTGACCTGAAAACCCAAGCCTGAACTGACTCTTCACTATGGAAACTAAGCAGCTTGAATTCATTTGGCTGGAAAATTTTCTGAAAAAGTTACTCAATAATGTGAAAGCAATCAATCAATACAATGAGGAATTCTTGGAATACAAGATGCTAAATAAGGGATCCATAGATTTTATTGTACTCTTTAAGGTACCATAATAGAAAGGTAATTGGGTGCCTATTTGACTTATGAAAAGAAATATGTTAGTTCAGATTTTTGCTATTTGTTACTTGATCTTAGGTAAGTTACATTAACTCTCTTTACTTACCATCTGATCTAAGTTAACTTCTTACCTATAAAATGAGGATAAAACTCCATAGGCATATTGTGAGGATCAAATGAAATAATTCACAAAATATCTAATATAAAAATGATCTAATATAGGGTTTAATACATAGTAATTACTCACTATATAACTGTTGTTTGTTATGCATATTGAAAATCATATTGTATCTAATAATAATTCAACAATATCATGTAATATTTCCCCAAGGAATTCCATGCAGAGAATGTTGCCTTCCTTGTTTAAAACGACCCTGACACCTAGGAGATTGTTGCTTACCAGAAATTAAAAGGAAGAATTACATTTAAAATATATTGTCTTAAAAAAAATTATTCTTGGCACATACTTGCATTTCAAGGTTAAAGGCTAGGGCTTTGCTGAGATAACATTCCAAGCTATAGCTTTGCCAAGCAAAGGGTTTGTTCTGAGTTTTGATGTTAACCTAAAACTCTATAAATGGAGTAATCTTCTGAGAAAGAAAATTAATTTTCTTTGAGCCAAATTGAAGTAAGAATTGGACTAGAAATAATCGCATTCACTTACTCTTAAGAGTTATAATAATAGAGAAGAATTGGATTATGACTTATCCCAGCTCTTGAAATGACTTGGAATACCCTTGAAAGGAGCCACAAATATTAGAACACATTGGCCAGGCAGTGTGAGTAGGCATATGCTGTGATGTTTTGGATGTCAGGGTGATAAGATTCAAGTGGCCGCAGTAGTGGTGAGCTGGATAGATTTACGGGCTGTATTCCATGGAACTGAGATGTAGGCTATCTCTTCTTGCAGGTAATTCATTTCAGTAAAACTCCCTATTATGATAGAAAATTAATTCTCATCCTGAGCGCAGTCGCAGAAATTCTGAAAGATGCTCAGTTCACTTTATCTCATTGGGGGAGTTGAGAGAATGAGGTTGTAAGAGGAATGTCCTAGTGGGCAGGTTTGTAGAAAGGGGGGCAAGTGAGGAAGTGCTCAGCGACATCCTCCCTCCTGGACTTTCAGCTTTTTTTGTGAAGAAGCAGTGTGGGCTGGGCCAGGCCAAAAGAGCTGGTTCTAAGAGGTATAAAACACCTATGGGGTGTGTGTGCATCAAGCCAGCCTATGATTAATTCATTCTTAGATGGTGCTTTTTGGAAATTTTCAAGATCATAGTCATTTGGTCATGTATTAAGCATTGTATTAGGCACATTAAATGTATTATTTATTTCTTACAAAATCTTTTTATTGTTGCCTTTTACCTCTGAACCTTCATTTTACAGATGAGAAAGCTGAGTGCGCTATTAAGTATCTTGCTCAAGTCCACACAACTTAGAAGCACTGAGGTTCGAACCTAGATATGTCCAAAGCCTGTCATAAAGCCAACAGTTCTCAATTTCTTTTTAATTTTAGGACTCCTTACTCTCTTAAATTATTTTTGTGGGTTTTATCTATTAAATGTTCTCCATATTGGAAATTTAAACGGATACATTTTAAATATGCTTCTTTAATAAAATTTAATATTTATTAAATATTTAATAACTGTAAATATATAAATACAAAATAAGAAACATAATATAGCACAAATAACATATTTCATAAAAACTATTTTCCAAAGCAAAAAAAAAAAAAGTGACAGGAGTGGCTCTAATTTACATTTAACACCTCTTTAATGGTTCGTTAGTAGAAGGCAGCTGCATTCTCATATCTTTGCATTCAGTTTGTTGTGCTATGTTGCTTGGGTTGATGTATATGAAGAAAACCTGGCCTTACACAGAGACTCACCTGTCACCATATGTAGCTATTACAGTATTATTGACTGTAGTCACTTTGCTGTATTTTATACCCCTGTGACTGTTTTGTAACTACCAATCTGTACTTTTCAATCCCTTCACCTTATTCACCAAATCTCCCAGCCCCCTTCCCCTCTGGCAACCATCAATCTGTTTTCTGAGTCTATGAGTCTGTTTCTGTTTTGTTTGTCCACTTATATTGTTCTTTGGATTCCATATATAAGTGAAATCTTTCTCTGACTGACTTATTTCACCTGTAATACCCTCTGGGATCATCCATGCAGTCGCAAATGATAAGATTTCATTCTTCTTTTGTGACTGAGTAATATTCCATTGTATATCTAGACCACAGCTTTTTTTTTTTAAATCAATTTGTCTACTGATGGGCACTTGGGTTGCTTTCACATCTTGGCTATTGTAAATTATGCTGCATTAAACATAGGGGTACATATATTTATTTGAATTAATGTTTTGGGTTTCTTTGGATTTATACCCATAAGTGGAATTGCTGGGTCATAAGGTAGTTCCATTTTTAGTTTTTTTGAGGAACCTCCATACTGTTTTCCATAGTGGCTGCACCAATCTGCATTCCCACCAACCTCAGCAGCAGGGTTTCCTTTTAGGAGGAGTTTTTATTTTATTTTTTTATCTTTATTGTTGGAAGTATTACATATGAGCCCTACTCCCCCACTCCGACCCCCACTGACCTCTTCTAGTCCACCCCATAGG